TTGATGATGAGAAACAGGTATATTGAGTTGCGAGGGTTCTATGCAAGTGTAATTAATACTGAAATAAAGATAAAAGTCAGGTGTGTTCTTTTCTACCACTAAACATGATCTAATGAACTTAATATGCAATTACCTAATTATCCAGTGATGAGTGGATTGCCATGATCAAATGAAACAGATGGAAAAAAATATCTGAAGTTTATAAGGGGAAAATACCTGATAAAAGATTAGGTGAGCTGCTTTCAACTCAGGCCATCGCTTTCCAATTAGACATAAACTAACATATAATAACATTTACCTGTCAGTGTTCATATGTTAATATGTGGGAAAATATTTATAAAGTAGTATTTATTATAATGTATGACCAAGGTATGATAGTTTTATAGAAGTGAATACTAAATGGCTTGGTTTAGTGGTGGTAGCTTTCCTTGTCTCTGTGCACAGAACTTTGCAATATCTTCTATCTATCCTTTTTTCCCCTTTAAATTCACCAAATTATCCTCCCCCAACCCCTTTTAATTTTGTGAATAACAGACTGCAGAGAGAACTAGGACACTAGAACTACAGATTTTGTTGGGAAAGAACTACAGGCTAGGGCCTTCTGCTGCAACTACAGCCAAATCCTCTGAGATCCTGCTAGATTTAAATTCTGGGCCCGGTAATTATCTTTCTCCTGGCTGCAGGACAGAGGTAGCTATATGTGGAGTTTGGAAAGCCTAGAATACACCCATTCTACTCTTGTCCATCCCTGCTGACTTCCCCTATAGCTCCCAACATGGATTCATGATTCTTGAAATTCTACAATTAGAACTTAATGCGTTGGCTTCATTCAGTATTGTAATGTAATATTTTGAGAAATAATGTATTTCACATGATCTAACGTGTAACTACTACCATATAGTAAGAATAAACTCAGATTCTATATGTGAGCCCTTAAGGGAGATTGGTAAGGGTGATATGTCACAGGGGAAAAGCCTGGACCCACAAGACAAGTTTACTTATTCAACACGGTTTCCAAGCTCCTGGAAAGTTCTGTTTTCTTTTTCCATTTTTCTTTTTCTTCATTTTTTCCCCCTCAGACTGAAAAAGGCATAGCAGTATTAGGTAGTTCTAACTTATTTTATACACATCTCTTTCAGTGTAATTAAGGATCACTTGTTGAATCTTAAATAATCACCCTGGAGATAAGCTAAACTGTATAATACAGCTTACATTTTAACAAAACTTAAAGTAAAACAGACTTCCCACTGGATGTTATTGTAAGGACTCAGATAGGGTACTAGTCCGACAGGACAGATTACCAGTTTGCTTCTGATGACAGTAAATCTGAAATTCTTAGAAACGGTGGTAAAACTATGCTGGTGGGATCATGAATAGTTAGTAGAAAATCAAAAATAAATTAAGTGACTGATTTTCATCCATCATATTCACCGATTTCATTAACCCATTTAACACCCAACTACTTCTTAAACACCTAACAGAGGCAAGACACTCAGAGGAGTAGACTGAGGATTACAAAGCCATGGGCACAGATGAGGCCATTCATCACAACTTTGTGCTGTGCAGTGGATTCTGTCTGCTGTGTGCTCAGAGTAATTAAAAGGAAGTAAAGCACAGAACCCAGTTTCCAGATGTGGTCTTCTCATGGTATGTTCAGGAAGCCCTAAAAAAACAGTCTAAATGTGAAGTCAGGGTGCTTCAAACTGTATCAGTTCAATACATATTCAAAGACATTGTTTTAGGGTCTGGGGAAACAAGGACACGAAATAGCCAACACTCTTGTATGGGCTACAAAATTATATGATATAACATGAAAAGGGCTTATAATAGTGGGAAAATAGGAGGAAGTGGTTAATATGTAGAAGCCTTGTGGAAAAGGTTAAAATTGTAGCAAAAGGGAGATGTTTGATTTGAGTATACTAGGCTAACATTTACACAGGAGGGAAAAAGGAAAAATCCAAAGTTAGCTGCAATTCTAGTTAAACACAATAATTTGGCCAATAAACTGCCAAAATTATTAGAAAATGAATAGAGAGTTAAAAACAAAAACAAATATAACAATAACAATACTCATCATGTACCCATCATGTGCAAAACCCTAAGGTACGCTGTGGCAGGCAAAAAACGTATTTTCTCCTCACAATGAGGTTGCGATTTGGATTGAGGGACAATGACATTAACAAATAAAAAAATAAATAAAAATAAGGAAATGCACTAAACACACCCAAGATATGGTTGATTACAAAATGAGTGGTATAACCTTGAATATAAAGCGTTCAGAAAAAAAAAAGTTGCTATAGGTGACATAGTCTATAGGGACTTAAGTTTTTCTGTATTCAAAGAGGAAAATTATGGGGCTGGTTGGTTGACAGTCAAAACCAAGGTTATAGAGATGGGACAGCATGAGACACGGGGGAAAACCTCGATCAGAGTTAGGAAACTTGAGTCCCTCCTAAGCCGGGCTCTGCCACCAACCATCTGTAATTTACAATGACTCATTTCGCTTCTGTAGCCCTCAGCTTTCTACTGCTGAGGGGCGGCTGAATGAAGTCTCCGCCCCCTTTCCAGCTCTTCCATTGTTGCCATTGTCTGCTCACGACTCCCAAACCAAAACACCCCTTGTCATTCCCCAAGGGAGCTCCGGGACCTTACAAGCTATGCTCTTAAATCAAGCTGACAAAAGCAGGACTCCGTGGCTATTTTCTATTTTTTCCTATGGCTCTCCCCCAAGTCAGCTTTGTGTCTAGCACTAATAAGTGCAAGGTGTGACTATAGACCTAGAGTTCCAATCACAGGATTTACCATGCAGCTAACAAAGCTCAAGCTTCAGGAGTCTTCGCTTGCACAGGCCCTTTCAAGTCCCTCGGGGCAACCAGACAGTAAATTCCCATGGTCATACATTTTTGCAAAATCTGTAGAATTAAGCTATGTCTGCATTATTTTAAAAAAGAAGATCCCACCTCCAAATTGTCATAAGTGCCAGGCTACTCGACATGTGGCTCCCCTCCAGGTCCCCATGTACTTCCAAGTTCCCTATTGCATGACCAAGATGTGTACAAAGCTACAAAGAAAACCTCCTTAAACAGAAAGAGGTGACATATCCCTACTGAGCTGGTATGAGGTAAAGGGGAAAGGAGACTGACATCTTTGTGTTTTGGTTTTTGGGTGTTTTGTTTGTTTGTTTGTTTGTTTTTTAATTCCTCATCTTGATCTTTCCTGGGTGCCAGGCCCTTAATGGAGGGCTGATTTCTGTCACTCATCCTCAGGCCTGCTATTTCAAGGCCAGAAACAGCGGACTGGGGTTTTACATACTGGAACACAGGTACTCTCCAGGGGCTTAGGTTTTTTATGACAACCTTTGTCCTGTTTCTTCCACCGGAGATCCTTAGAGACTTCATGGTATAGAATAAACAGATCCCAAGTCACGCTTGGATGTGGGATCAGACGTCAGGGGTTGCTTTCCAGAGTGCCCTGTCCAGAAAAACATCCCTGAGCGCGGCGGGTGCTACATTTAATCCACGCTGCTGACAGCCCGCACGCCGGCAAGGATGGACGTCTGTTGCTGCGGAGGACTGGCGTGCGCAGAGGGCGGGGGGGCCGAGGGCTAGGGGAGGAGATCGGAAGGGGAGAGGTAATCCCCGGCGTTTTGAGCATCCCCTTTTTAGAAAGACTGAGTCTCTCCTAGGACAGCTGCTGCGGTCACACCACAAACTTAAAAGCCGTCCTCCCGCTCCGAGCGTGCCTTTCCTCACCACCCTCGCCTTGCCGAAGCTCCAACTGGTGCCTGGCTCTCCGCCGGTCCCGGCCGGCCGGCGCTCGGGAACCAGCAGCGCCCCCTGCCTCTCGGCCTGGCCTCTACGGCCGCAGCCTCCGCGCTCCACCAGGGCCGCCCGCGGCTCCCCGGCTCAGCCAGGGCTGCGGCTCAGAGGAGCTCGCGCCTTGGCCCCGAGTCGCCGCCTCGCACGCCCACATCCTGCATCCCCTTCCTCTCCCTCTGAAGGGACATCAGGCAAAGAGAGAGGGCGAGAAGAGTTCGCGGCAGGTAAGTCTGCTTTCGGGTCACCTGCTACTTCAGTGGGAGGGCGCGCTAGGGACCGCAGCATTAAGCAGGGGTGACTCTCTTTGGGGGTGGCTGTGGGTCCGAAGTGAGGATGCGGAGCGGCCGGGAGGTGGGGAACCTTCCTGGGACGGAAAAAGCACTCCGAGTGGAGAGCGGGCGCGCGGGAGCGCCGTCGGCGAATCCGGGAGCGGAGGCGCGGACGGCCTTTGCGCGCCGCGCAGGGGACAGCGTGGCGGCGGGGCGGAGTCCCACCTCGCGGCCGTGGGGAGCGCCTCTTCAGCTTGAGCTCCTTGGGCGGCCAGCCCCGTGCAAAGTTTTCCTCCCAAGACGCGCCCAGAAACTTCTCCCTCGCTCCCTCCCGGGCCAAGGAGGCAGGGAGCGCGCTTGAACGCGCCTGGCGGCTTCCACCCGCTGCAGGTTCACTTAAGAGACCCGCTGGTCGGGGCCGTCTGGGGAGGACTAGAGCAGGGCATCTGTCTGCGCCTTTTCCCATTGGGCTGGAGGAGGGGACGCGGAGACCGTGGTGATTGTTTTTGTTGTGGTGCTTTTGGGGAGGGATGGACGACGCCTGTTTGCTTGGGAGGGGATCGCGACGGGTGGAAGCGTGCATCCTTCTGTACCCAGAGGGAAAAGTTGGAGTCAGACCCCAGCCACAAAGCGGGCTGTCTGGGAAATGTGGTTGCGGCAAAAACACTCTTGCTAGAGCGGAACAGCCCTGGGTAGCCCTCAGCTGGACTCGCCCGGGGAAGGCCGGGTTTTAAGTCCGACTGGAAGTTTCACACAGCGAATTTACACCCCCAACCCCGGGTCGTCGCTCCGGGCTCCCTACCGACGCGCCCCAAGTTGACCGGTTCATGGGCTGCCCTGGCCGCGCCCGAGCGATTTTCAGCACCGGCGGATTCGCCTTGGTTTGTGACATGCGTTCCACCTCTTCGGCTGAATTACTCTGCTTAGGTCCCAGCGCGCGCAGAGGGGACTTTACAGGAGGAGGAGAAACCGCGCTCTCTCTCGCCTGCTGGACGGTATCGAGGGGACTGAACGGGAGCCGCACGCCCAACAGCTGGGACCGCCCAGGTCCCGAATTCCGTGTTACGGAGATCGCAGTTAAATGGGCGAGCTTTTAGCTAGTTATTCCCGAGTGCAGCCGTAATCAAAAGCAAGTGTCCCTACAAGGACTCTTCTTTTCCCACCAAACCCCTCCCATTCTTCCTTTGCTTCTCCGTGCTGTTGGCACAAGCAAAAGAAGAGAGCCAGGGTGGGGGGAAGGGGAGGGATTTCAAGTCTCAAGTTTAGCAGGAAAGGGTTCTCCTGTTGACAGTGAGTTCATGTGTTTGTGTCAGTGTGTTTGAGGGCGTTGGGGGGGGGTCCCTAACGGGGAGAAAAAGGTTGAGGGCGGCAGATGAGACGGGACCCTCCTGGGTCTCGTGCTGCTGTTGTGTAACCGTGGCAACCGCCAGGGCAAGAGCGGTCACAGCCTTCCGGGTTCTGCACGTGGAAAGAAAAATGTGAAGGGTGGGGAAGGGAGAGAGCCACTGTCATCACTCCGGTGATGCCTTTGCTTTCCGCGCCTCTCGGAGGCCAGACAGCAAGGAGGATGAGCAGGGAGGGTCGGGTTTGGAGTGCACAGCCCCAGGCGGAAGTTTCTTTAACTCTGTCCAGCCTTGGAATCGCTTTGGCTTGTTCCAGCAGCTAACGCTGGCCAGAGGAGCCATCGTTGACAGGCTACAAAGTGATGGCCCAGGTCATGGAGATGGGAAAAGACCTTGGCCCTTGGAAGAGAAAGGCCAGGAAATACAGGAAGGTGATGTGGGAAGAGATAAGACTAGGGTCAAGAGGTAACTGAGCTACAATAAAACGGTACTGATCTGGACTGGCAACATTTCAAGTGGAATTTGCCCATTTATGAAATGGAAAATTGGGAAAATTGGTGGAGAAGGAAAGGGACATTTATTAAACACTTTTTGCATCCCAGGTGCTTTGCACATTATCACCATTAATATTACCACTAACACTACAGAAAATGTCATTCTTTTCCTCTTTTTTTTTTTTCCTGTTTTTTAAGATGAAATAAAAAAGCAGAGACACAGAGCTAGAAATGGCTGGTGTCCCATTTGGCTTTTGCAATCTTAATGAAAAATCATAATTTAAAAAAAATGGTGTTGATAGTTAGGAGCATAGACAAAACAGTTATTCTCATTTTGGAGATGAGAATGATGAGATGTAAAGGTGTTAGTTGATGTGTCCAAATATAAGTTAGTAAGGGGCAGAGATGAGACTGGAACTGTGTTTACCTGGATGTGGGTCACCTTTCAGGGACTTCAGACAGCTTTCCATGACCCCACTTAAAGGAAGGACCTTGATAATATCTGTATATTATAATTTACAGGGGGAGAACATCCAAGAATTTAAATGGATCCATAGTTGAGGATAGATATGGGCCACATCAAGTCTGCAGGCCGAGAATCATATGCACATGATCTTAATCTATATTTATAAATGTCTTATTGTACCTTATAAGAATTATTAGTGGCTTAAATAATGTTTATAAAGGAAAAATGAAAACAAAAGAGATGTGTTTTGTCAAATAGTAACCCCATGCTGTGTTGAGAAAATTTCCTGAGATTAATGAAATTTTCCTTAGTCTTTATTGCCTCCATGACCCAAATACCTAAAAACTTACTTCATATTTCAGCACCACTGGTTCACCTTTGTAAGAGTCTGTTGCCAATTCATTTAGGAGGAGTAATGATTTGACTTCTGTTACCTTCCTGCTGACTTTCTGAGAGGGAGGTCAAGGGAAAATGTCTGGCAATGTAAAATGTTTTGGAATTATCAGGAAACTAGAATTAACAGAAGCAGAAACTCAGAGTGAAAGGTACAGAAATAATTATGAGGCCTGTCTTTTACCTTCTTGCAAACTTGCCTTTATAGGTACTTCTTTGTTCAAGAATTTGTTTTATATTTTTGCCTTTGAAAAATGCACAAAGACAAACTGAAGTTTTAATCTTTGGGTGTGTGTGAGTTTGTATGTTTGGTGAGGGAGGGCTAGTAGGGTTGGAGTGGGAATTATTTGGGGTGTCAGGGAAGGCCTAGAATATAAACAATTAGAAAGGCAGAGGAAGCACATGTACTGTTTCCAATGACAGGATAACAGATCAGCTATAGGTTTGAACTTGAGTCACTGGGCTGAATTACTGTCATGTCTTTTCTTTTCCAAAAGTAGGAAATCTATTTGGGGTTGCAGTTAAATTAAGATAGGAAGTTTAATGGTGCCCATTTATTATTCTTCATACTATTATATATTTTCATTCCATTGTATGAGCATTTATTAACTATCAACAGATTTATCACAGACCTCAAAGTGTCTTTGAAGATATCTTCTGGAATTGGAAGGTATTTCTGTGGCCTGGAGTTTGTTTACTGCTTGTGCAGAGTTACTGGGTTAAGTCATCACCATTTTTATGAAGTAGTTGGGATATCAACTTCTCAGTCTCAAGGGGAAACACATTCCAGTTGGTTCTGTTTTAATGAATACTAGTATGTCTTCAGATTGTATGCTATAGTTCATTATTTTGGGAAAAAGACAATGTGACTCTGAATTTTACTGTTCTGTTTGGGAGAGATAGTGCTTTGATGACATATGTTCATTGACAAGCATTCTTGTCAATTAGTAAATGATTTATTTACTAAATAAGAGTAACCGTAGCTCTATTTTGAAAAGTTATTTTGAAAAGTCATTATTCTTTCCATAAATACCCGGAGCTATATAGATTACCCAAGTAATGTAATAAGTATTTCAACACTCAACATATTCCTTGAAAGGAAAAAGAAATATTCACATTTGTGAAATAAGTACAATAGGAATAACAATAATAATAATGTTTGACCACGGACAAAACTTGTTAGTCACATTCCCTTTTACCTTAACACTTGGTTTAAAAAAAACATTCCCTTACTCTGGGAAACCTTGGCCCAAATCCCTTTTTATTTTTATATTTTCATTATGTCCTTCCAGATGATAAATGTCAATCATTTGTTTTCTTCTTTACTTTTATCGTTTATGATCCCTGACTAGATCATAAGAACCTTGAAGGAAAGAATTTGTCTTCTCTAACATTTTATACCTTCAGATGAGTACAGTGCTGAACATATCCTAGATACTTAATACATAGTGAAGTCCAATTAATTATCTAAGCAGTTAATAGAATGATTGTGAATTTATTTATTGCCTGTAAAAGGTCGGCTTAAAGATCTTTGGTTTTATACTTTCTCTGAGATTCTAGGAAGAAGATTTTACTTCTATATCTGAGTTTTACCCTTCCATAGAAAAAAGTATAAAAGTGGTGAGATGCTGAATATTTTATCATAATGGGTCACTTACAGGAGTGGTGTAATGATCATGTGAAGTAGAGTATATAAGAATACTTTGTAAAAAGTTGCATGCTACGAAAAGTTATTATTTTATTTTTTAGTTTCTTGTATTTTTTGAGGACCCAAGTAACATATGAGAGTCGGTATCATATATGTCCACATTGTCCACTTTGATGAGATAATATCCACCCAAATAATAATTAGGAAGAAGGATATAGCACAAGCAAAATTCTTTATAAATGAGAAATACTTTGATAAGCAACTGCAATACCTTTGAGATTATTTTTAAATTTAAATAATAATATTGAGATATACTTAAATTATTATATATTTATAAACATAAGTGATTAAAAACAGATAAACAGTGCATCAAAAACGTGGACTATATAATGAAATATACTGTTTCACAGATTTGAAATTGTTTTGATGACTTTATCTTCATTAATATTTGATCATTTATCTCCATGTTAATAATATTTAATAATTTCTGATAATCATGAACTAGGATATCATTAACTAGCTTGCTGATATTAAACAGGTAAATTTAAACAGTTTGCAAGTTCTTTTTGCAAAGCTTAAAAACCTACAAATATTACCCTTCCATAGAAATA